TTTTTTTTTTTATAATAAACCCCTTTTCTTTTCTTTTTTCCTCTCTCCCTTCCCTCCCTTTCTTTAACCCTTAACACGTTCCTTTTTTCACACTTATTTACCTCAAAAACCTGTCGTCTGTTACGAGTTTTTTTTAAAAAAAAAATTAAGAACAGCCCGCAGGAAATTTTTAAAAAATTTTTTTTTGCATAATTTTATGTGTATGTTGCCATAGTCGAGGGAGTAGAAGGTTATTTCTTCTTGACAAATCATATAAAATACAACCGAGGCCAAATTTAAATCATGATGTTTGTTAAAAAAAACGAGAAATAACAACAACAACAACAACAACCGCAACCGTATCGGTTGTTATTTATAATAAAAATTTATTTGATTTGCATTTTGTTGTAAATTTCAAAATATTTTTTTTTTTTTTTTAAATTTGTGCTAAAAAAAAATGGCATCGTTTGTAGAACCGTTGGTTGTTGTTGATATCCTTAGGGGCAAGTCTGTGTTGAAGAAATAAAGAATAATAATAATAATAATAATAATCGAAAACGGAAATTTTGTTTTGTACCCTAACAAACGCATCATACAACAACTTATCATAATAATAATGATAGTTTTTAAATTGGATTATCTTTCTTTCTTTTCTTTTCTTTTTTTTCGAGGGACTAAGAATGATAAATATTTGTCATGAATTTCGTGCAAAAGAGGATGATAAAACTGCCACCCACTTCACACGCACACACCTTCTTTCGTCACAAATGTGATTTTTTTTTTTCTTAAAAATAATTTTTTTATAAATTACTCTGTCATATTATAATGATGGCCATCCATTTTTTTTTTTTAGGCAGAGGGAACAAACCCCTAAACAGATTTAAGTTAAGGCATCAATTATCATTCGGGGTCATAACAACATGAACAAACTTTGTTTTAAATCAGCTGCTTGGGAAAAAAAGAGAAAGAAAAGAAAAGAAAACTGGTTTTTTGTATCTGTTATTATTATTATTAATATTATAATATCATTATTATTATTATTATTAATAATAATAATAATGATATTATTACACATGATTTGTATTCTTCGGATTTAATTTAGTTTAAAAAAAG